TTGCTGGTGCTGATAGTTTAGGCTCGTTGATCGGCCTATGAGTCGAGGGATCGATTCCCCGGCTCGTAAGCTTTCTTCTTATATGAGTATTCCAATAATTCTTTATCTCGTTGTCTGTTCTTCCAGGTAATCTTCCAGCTATCAAAGACCATCTACATAAATCAATTAAATTAATTAATATTCACATACAAATTAATATATATCATCATATATGTCGAAATTATTGCATTTAAGCCAAAAAGAAAAACCTCGTGTTATAAATATTAGCATTTTTTAGCGCACGAACGCTTAAATTGCGCATTTTTAGGGAGTAATTTGCTAATATATATATATACATAAATTTTATGTATGATGAATTATGATATATATAAACTTACTTATTGCCAAGAAGGCTGTGGAGTTTGATAATGAGTTCATCTTCATCTTGTGTGAAGTTGCCTCTCTTGAGATCGGGCCGCAAGTAGTTGATCCAGCGGAGGCGGCAGCTCTTGCCGCAGCGGAGGAGGCCGGCGGCCTTGGGGAGGGACCGCCAGCATCCCTCGCCGTGTGCGCGTATGTAGGAAACGAGGCGGTCGTCTTCCTCCTTAGTCCACGCGCCTTTGTTTGTGTGAGCTTTCTCACAGCAAGGAGACCTCCCCATTATTAATGTTTAATTCTTGTCTTTCCTTCTGTTTGGGTATATAATTTTCCGGGCACTTTTTTCTATGTGGTGTTTCTTCTTTTGGGAATGGTTTTTGGGAGGGGTGGTACAATATAAAAGATTATAGCCTTTGGTGGTGATTCTTGATCAGCATCAAGTCCTTCCTTTAAGGACTTGTTGTGGGGTTATACATATATATATACAGTATATAAGCTTTTTGACTCTAGTGTGTGTGGTGTGTGTTTCTGTGTGTGTGTGTGAGAGAGAGAGATGAGAGAGAGAGAGAGAGAGAGAGAGAGAGAGAGAGAGAGAGAGAGAGAGAGAGAGATAGAGAGAGAAGAGAGAGAGAGAGAGAGAGAGCTTCTAGATGTGAGTTGGTGAGACAGGTTAGAGAGAGTGGCTGGTGGCAATAATAAATAAGCTCTTGGTCAGCATCATCATTTACTACAAATTAAATAATTGTGAGGTGTAACTAAATGTGATATTGTGATTTAAGTAAAGATTATATTATTAAAAAAAAAAAAAACTAAATGCAAACCTGCAGGTAGGTATAAAGTGAGATATTAAATTACAGCAAGACAAGTTTAATCAAACTCTGATCTGAACCACCTTCTATTAATAAGTCATTAGTCCCCTAACCAAGTAATTAGTGTACTTAATATTTTGTAATAAGCTCAATCAAGTTATTCTCCATGCACAGAACACACATGCAGAGAAAAGAAGTTATATCATATATGGGTTTTTTCTTTGATGAGACATAACATAATCATTTATTATTTTGATTTAGAGATTAATTAAGCAGAGATTAATTAATTAATTAATTATAATCATGAGCATAAACACTAGAAGTGGTGGTGGTTGTACTTTAATTTCTATTTGGTGCTCCAACATGCAAAATATGTCATACAGATATAAAAGGCTTCTAGAATGGTTGGAGGTTGAGGGCAAAAAAGAAGATATTAGTGTGGGTGTAGTTGTATGTGGGCTTTGGTTTACCTTAATTTACTATTATTATTATTATGGGTAAATTACGAAAGACCCCCTCTTATTTGAGTAATTACAACCACCATTCAACTATGAGTATTTTCACACGTCCACCCTTATGGTGGCAAATTCAACATAATCTTCTAGATTTCGTGAAATGTTCTCTAGTTTGTACTCGTGCAGTTTTTTGACCATACCGCAAGGGTGGACACGTGTAAGACGATTCATAGTTGAGGGGTGGTTGTATATACCCAAACAAGAGGGGTTTTTATGTAATTTGACCATACCTCAGGGAGGTGTCCGTAATTTACCCTATTATTATTTTTCTCTCTCCCCAAACCTTAATATTATATTATTATTTTGTTAAGATTATAGTGCAAGTTTAGGGATGAAGGTAGGGTAGATTGATATATTTGTTATAACCATCCATTGCATATGCATGATTCTTCACCCACCACCACATATTTATCCATAACAACTTGTGCCCATGAAATCAAGATCATTAAATCTACCTATCAATCAAAAAATTTGGTACTGATGGTTTAAGACATGAGAGAGAGAGAGAGAGAGAGAGAGAGAGAGAGAGAGAGAGAGAGAGGTCCACTTGTGTTGTGTGATTCCATATCATGTGTTTTACCTACCTTGTTACCTTTTTATTTATTTTATTTTGCAAGAATGTCATGGTCCCAAAGAAAATGGCTCCACTTTGATGTAAGGGGCAGTTTCGTAATATCCATTTTCCATCCCAACATTATCTTCTCTTCAACCCCCAACAAATTTAAAAAAGGGGGGAACAACCTGTCAGAGAAGGAGAACACTGTTATGTTTAAGTCCTTCAATTAAAACAAATAATAACTTCAATTAATTTCAAAACTCTAGTGTAATAAAAAAACAAGTAATCGAATCCATAAGGTGAAAAAAAAAGACGACGAAACAGCCAGAAAAAGAAAGGGTAATTTAAATAATACTGATTATTTTTTTTAAATGTATTAGGATTGGTTAAGCAGCTCAAATGACATGTTTAATTGGGTAGGAAATAATCTGGGATTAAGCCAACTCATGAGCTCGTGGATATCATGTGCTTAGGTACACAGACAGAAACAAAACTTGTGGGGCTGTCCTAAGAAGAACTCTTACCTACCTCTTTTGGGGGTCTTTTTCCTCTCCCATGTGAGCTCCTTCTACTCAGCAAAACAAAAAAAATAAATAAAACAACTGTCACTTATTTTTTTGGATAATCGCACATACGAACAATGTTAGATTTTCGATAATCGATAAAGAGCCATCGAATAAATTTAAAAAACGTTGTTTCGGACAATTACCACTTTAGGAGAAAATCACATTTAACATATGGCAGCGAAAGAAACGTTGGAAGTTGAATTACCTGCAGAAGAGTCGAAAAGACAGATGGTTAGATATTCAGAAATATTTAGGTGGAAACTGGTAAAAGAAAAATTAAAAAAATCGAGAGATCAATAATTGTCACGAGGGGGGAGTATAAACAAATGTACATGCATGGATCTACGAAGGAGGAGAAACTCAATAATTTAGGTATTGTCCATGATCCCCATGTTATGCAATCCAGATCGGTTAGTTTAAGACAAGCAAACATCTTCTTTAAGAAAAAATGGTCCCACCCTTGTGTTGTGGATTTCATTAAATAAAGAATTATCTGTGTAGAGTTATCAATCATAGGGCCAAACTAAATTCCATTCTATTCCAGCAATTTACTAATATTCGTGACCCCCGAAGCGAGCCAATAAGTTTATACAATATTTTCTCCATAATTTCTAATTAGTTGGCGCGTGGAGAACCAGTATGTTGTCTACACATGTGCTATACACTAAAGGAGTTTAGTAATAAACCAGCCAAAACTAAAAATTAAGCCCCTCCTCGGTCGGTTCCCAAGATAAAATTGTGTAATCTTGCGTGATCCAATACACAATCTCTCGATAAACCAAGATAAGAGAACTCATTATTTCCATAGTTGCGGTCGGTACGAAAAAAGTATTGCACTAATCAAAGACCAAATTCTTTAATTAATCATGGTTTCTCTTACCAATCAAACGAGGCGTTAGTCTTTACGGAAGCCACAAAATATCTACACTTAGCAAATGAACTTAAAGGGCCGATATTCCCAGCAGATTCCCAAAAAGAAACGGAACATATCCTGAATAGCTTTCAATTAGGCTTTATTACATTGTTATTTAACTTCATCGTGCAGCTCTTAATCTATCAAGTCCCAATCAAACCCACTGTACTAGTATTACCCAATGTTACAAAGAATTTCCAGGATAGATAAAATACTAACATATTGTATATATAAACTTTTCAATTGAAGGATTTAATTTTACTTTCTAGTAGGAAGATACTGTTGGATCTACACCCTAACACGCTCACATTTTCAACCAAAGCATTCGTAAGCCAGAAATTAACTTGGCTATTGATTTTGGGGATACAAAATAAATATTAGACTAATAAATCTGCATACGAGAAACTTAGCCACACGAAAGTTAAAATCAATAAAGCAAAATTCCTGTAAAGGACATGCATTATTCGATTTCATCATAGTATCAAACATGTTGTATTCCTAGAAGGTTCAAGAACACCGACTTCAGTTAATGTTGTTTCACCCTCAGTTCCTTTACTTTCCCATTTCCCAGAAAAAAGTTAAAGCGTGGAAAACTGAAGAATACAGAACAGAAACATCAAATCTCTAATCGAAATGTAAATACGCCTATAAAAAAGAAAATTCACAAATTGATATGTTCATCAAAATTTTCTCAACTTCAAAATGGTCTAAACAGGACAGACAATTTATTTTTAAATTTATCGGAGAAGTTCACTAGGCCAAGATACAAAACAAGTGAAACTCGTCAGCCTCGGTTAGGAATGACTTTTTTAAGATCATCTTGAAAGATCAAAAGTGTCCGGATAATCTAAACTATCATTTTTGCCTAAAAAGTTTGAACACCAGTTCTCTTTGATTTATGATATTCTTAACAAGCAAGAGGATGAAGCTAATATCCAAATTCGAAGTGTAATGTATTACGTAATCCAAGCTTTGACAGAAAATCCTCGACATTCTACTAATTAATCATGACCAGTAATCCATGCTCTGTATTTCGTCAATAGATAGAAGACTTCATGTATTAAAACATTTAGAACTCGCCTGTTCTGCATACGACACCAAACGAACGTTTTAAATATTTATCATGCGTCCATTTTCAACTGATACAAATCATAGCATCTATTACAACTAAGTCTAACTCAACATGCAACTAACCTAAATTCTACGACCACATAAATTGTACCACTCTAAGAACTACGCTCCAATGATCGATCAAAAAACACGTAGCCAACTACCATTAGTCAAATAGAGTGAATCAAGCAGAGAAGAATAAGTATCAGATCTGCGAACTAACGACAAATCAGTAATGAACAGAAAATACAATTTAATTGAACAGTTTAGTAATAATACTCAGAGCTATGTGGAGTACTCAGTAATATTTTAGCCTAAATGAAGGCACAGATTCTAAGCTACATGCCATTAAATGCTAAAGTGAAGCTGATCAGAAATATATACGAGTTGATAAATCAAACGAAAAAATACATTTAACGCATCTGAATAGTGAATTTAAATACATTGATCCCAGCGCTGTAATTTTTTGAGCACGAAAATGCATTAAATCAACTACGAAGAGTAACCCCTAACAGGGAAAATCTCCCCATATCGGGTCGACTCAGTTATGCCTGCAATTTTTCCTGTTCGAATCATACGATCATGCTATTAAAATCAATTTAATGTGTACAATGCAATTGTTCGAACTTCAGTAAATTGTTTGATATAAACGATTTTGCTAAATTCTAGAGAGAGAGAGAAGAGAGATACGTTAATAGAAGGACGATCGGAGCGCAGTTCCTAGAAGAGATATATGAGAGGAGCAAGAGCAAGTTAGCGGCGAAGCTTTTCTCGATTTCTCTGTGGTCGATAGGATTCGCCATTGACGCTCGCAGAAAGTGCTACTAAACCCTGTTATCAGTAATCACACGAGTTATGAACGGCAACAAAATAAAAGAGGAGTTGAATGTAAATAAGAGGAATTACCGGGGTCAATAAGATAAGTCAATATACATAAATCAAGTCCAATATTTGTGAATCGGGGGTTTTAGCTCGTAAATTCATTTTGCTATTTTCATATACTAACAAGTATACAATTATAGTATTAAAAAAAAAAAAAAAAAAAAGTATACAATTATAGTTTATAAGCATCTGTCCGAATTTTCCCAAAATTACAATAAAAAAATCGAACACGTCATGTTCAACTTCTAACCCATTTTCGGGCTTGTAGCTGAGCCATCTCTACATTGTTACCCATTTTAACTCTATGTTCGTGGTTTGAAAAATTTAACGTATCTACATTTGATTAAAGTGCTAGGATGTTGTTGCCATCATAATCATTAGTTCTTTGTTATTGCACTCAAGAATATGAGATTCTGAATGAGCTTCTTGATATTGATGTGGCAGAAAAGTGTCGGGTACATATCCAAATTCGATGGTTATTCAGTATTTAGCTGCGCGTGAAAGACTGTACGTGTCGGGACGTGTGTGCGATGGTGAAGATGCAAATTTCCATCACCGTCAAAACGAATATGACATAATTAGGTAATTGTTCGCAAGTATGTACATAAAATACATATTGTGTGCTTTATGGTATTCTATTTACGAAATACAAGTAAACAATTTATAAATTAAAAATCTCTAAATTTGTAGGCAAACTGAAGTTATCAAACTGGCTAGTCCGGCCCAGTACAACCCAAACCCATATGGGCTCGCTTCATAAACGGGCCAAATTGACTCGGAAGTCTGGCATCTCAATATGATCTGGGCTGATTTCACTAATCTCTTACACCTTGCGCCTCTGTTTTTTTAATTATATTTTATTAAAAAATATAATTATTATTCAATTTGAGTTTATGAAAGCATATTACAATATTTTTTAACAGTATAGTATAGTAAATTGAAGTTCACTTAAGTGGAGTATACACACATAAATAATATCTTTAATTTTTGTTACATAATAATAAAATAAAGGCGCATAATGTATATTCAAAATATTAGCTCTAATAAATAACAACGAAGACTAGATATGAGCACATACATAAATAATCTATATAATTTTCTTCTAAAGCTTACGAAAATTGGCGATGAACTTCTAAAATTTGACGGAGAACTATAGAAATTTGGAAGTAAACTTAATACAGTGAACTTCGACCAAGGGCGCGATCCACAATGTTCATAGACGTGCTATGCTCTACACTTTTCACGCGTGATGCACATTTCTAAAACGCCCACACTATTTTTAGAAACCTTGAGCCAATAAAGTTGAGGGGTATTTTTGTAAATACTAGCTTATTAAAAAAATATAGGGATGTGATAAATGTCGTTCGAGCTTTAATAATACCGTTACGACTTCAAACGTGATTTTGATTATTTTTAATTCCAAATTTTACAAAACCCGAAAAATAGAATTTGTAATATTCCGAGTTAGGTTTCTAATCCAACTTGAATCACCAAAATTGGATGTCAGACGAGAAAGATATACATGAATCAATGGATACTGCCCACAACTTTGATGTATTGAGGTATCTAAAATTCAAATTTGTGACTCATCCATGCATAACTTTGTCACACGACATCCAATCTAGCGGATTTAAGCTGGATTAGAAAGCTAACCCAAAGGACTACAATTTTCGTGTTTTGAATTTTGCCAAAATCAAAATAGAAATATATCAAAATTAGGTTCGAAGTCAAAACGACATAAGTAAAATTGAAATGACATTTAACATTTCAGAAAAATATAACATGTTTTTTATTTATATTAAAATTACTCGTGATAAATTATTAGCTAATTACTCTTCAATTACACCGCCTCATTATTTTCCCAAATATATCTCGTTTATATGGTGAGATATTTTGTTAAATTGTATTTTTTTAATAATTATTTTATTATGTATATATGTCAATTAATCAACAAGAAAAGGGAAGGTAAGAAGTTACGTTGGAAAAGAAAATAATGCAAAAAAAATAAAATGGCAGCACCGTGTCCACATCATCCAAGTTTTTATTTTTTATTTTTTATTTTATTTACTATAAAGCCATACAATTAGGGTTGTCTATTTTATTTACAATTTGCATCTCTTTTTATCATCCCTCTATCATCCTCTTCCTCCTCGTTTCTCCCCCATATTCGGTCACAATTTCTCGAAATTACCGTTCGGTTGTCCACCGCCTTGCACAGTTACGCTTCAATTGATATCAAATTTGCAAGCTTTTTTGTATTGGCGAACGAGGGTTTCTGATTGAGCTGAATTGGCCAGGTTTCGATTTTGATTTTCGTCTCCGGAGGAGTTAGGGTTTTCCGAAGTTTCTGATTGTGACATGGTGGAAACTTGGGGATCGGGATACAGTCTGATCGCCGATTGATCGGCGACTCGATTCTTCTGTTTTGTAGGGCTCTTGTATGGAAACTCGGAGCCGCAAGCGGGCGGAGGCATCCACCTCAGCAGCGGTATCTGGCACACCTACTCGCGCCAACAAACGCACTCGCCTTTCCGCCGCCACCACCACCACCGCTGCTACCCCTACGGCAAACACCACCCCTTCGATCTCCACTCGCTCTCGCACCGGCGCTCGATCCAATTCCATGGACCGCAACCAGGAACCCTCAGCCGCCGCCTCTGCTTCCACCACCCGCAGCCGCCGTGGCAAAAACCCTAGTGTGAACCAGAACTCTGATAGTAATACCAACAATAGGGATAGTAATAATTCGGATAAGGGTAAAGAGAAAGAGCCCGAAATCAGGAATAGAGAAACAGAGAGGAACTTAGGGCTGAACATTGATTCGCACGAAGGAGAGGACGATGATAACGACAGTGAGGGTGGAGTTGGAATGTTGCACCATAATTTGACAACTGCTAGTAGTGCTCTTCAGGGTTTGTTGAGAAAGCTGGGTGCTGGATTGGATGATTTGCTCCCAAGCTCGGCCATGGGTGCGGCTTCATCTTCTCATCAAAGTGGCCGTCTGAAAAAGATTTTGTCCGGTTTGAGGGCAGATGGTGAGGAAGGGAAGCAAGTCGAGGCATTAACACAGCTTTGTGAGATGCTTTCTATTGGGACGGAGGACTCTTTGAGTACATTTTCAGTGGATTCTTTTGTTCCGGTGCTGGTGGGATTACTTAATCATGAGAATAATCCCGATATCATGCTTTTTGCTGCTAGGGCGCTGACACACTTGGTTGATGTATTGCCCTCCTCTTGTGCTGCAGTGGTGCATTATGGTGCCGTCTCTTGCTTTGTTGCAAGGCTACTTACTATAGAGTACATGGACTTGGCTGAACAGGTGAACTTGATAATCATTGTTAGTTTAATAATGCCTGCTGGGATTGTAGTGGACTATATGATATTTTTTTTATTGTATCATGGTAAATTTTGTTCTTTTAGTTTCTATGCGGAGTTTTAATTTTGATTTGTTGGAACAGTCACTGCAAGCCCTGAAGAAGATATCTCAGGAACACCCAACTGCTTGCTTGCGGGCTGGTGCACTTATGGCGGTGCTTTCATATCTCGACTTCTTCTCCACCGGTGTTCAGGTATGTTAACAGTTGAAAAGTTGCTGTCCTGTTTGAATTGGTCATTCACTTAGCTTTCGGAGTATCTCCAACTTTGTATTTTCGATAATATAATTTCTGTTTAATGCTGCATCAGAGAGTGGCCTTAGCGACTGCTGCGAATATGTGTAAGAAACTACCTACAGATGCATCTGATTTTGTAATGGAAGCTGTTCCTTTGTTGACCAATCTCCTGCAGTATCACGATTCCAAGGTTAGATATAGTAGTGCAGTATGGTTCTGGCAACTAATACTGTAGTTTCAGTAAAAGATTCAGCTCCTTTCCCTGTTCTCTAATTATGTCATATTCTCGTTGTGATTCATAGGTCTTAGAATCTGCATCTATTTGCTTGACGCGGATCACCGAAGCTTTTGCTTCATCACCAGAGAAACTCGATGAGCTCTGTAACCATGGTCTAGTCACACAAGCTGCTGCCCTGATCTCATCAAGCAATTCTGGAGGTGGACAGGCTTTACTGAGCACTTCTACCTACACGGTACGGTCAATTCAAAGTTTTGGTTGGTTATTTTGAGCAAGGAGCCACTGTATGACCTTTCTCAATGCAGGGTTTGATCCGGCTTCTTTCCACATGTGCAAATGGCTCTCCTTTAGGAGCAAAGTCCCTTCTCCTCCTTGGAATCAGTGGCATACTGAAAGAAATATTATCAGGGTCTGGTCTTGTGTCAAGCATGTCTGTTTCACCTGCTTTAAGTAAACCCCCAGAGCAGGTATGAATCATTTCCCCGAGGTAGCCTCTCAAGATAGTTTCTAGGCTTAGCTTCACAAATTAGAAATAGTTTTGACATTTCCCTTCATGTGCGAAGCTATTTCATGCTTTTATTTTCTTTTGGCGGAAATATATATGTTTTATACCTTTCTACCACTGTGGCCTTCGTGTAAATTGATTTCCTAGGTTGGAAAGAAATATTATAATTAATGTTGCACCACTTAAATTCAAATCCACTGGTATCGTCAGTGCTATATGATGACTTTCTATATCATCAGATTTTTGAGATTGTGAACCTGGCAAATGAGCTTCTTCCACCGCTTCCACAAGGAACAATCTCTCTTCCAGCCAGCAGTACTTTGTCTATCAGAGGTTCACTATCTGCTAAGAAGGGTCATGCAGGCAGCTCCAGCAAGCAAGAAAGTTCAAATGGGAATATACAAGAAGTATCAGCTCGTGAGAAATTGTTAAATGATCAGCCTGAACTTCTGCAGCAATTTGGGCTGGATCTTCTTCCTGTTCTTATCCAGGTTAGTTTTCACAATAGCTCAGCATATTTGTTTTGTATGAAAATATACTTAATTTTCCCATGGTTCTGCTTGCAGATCTATGGCTCCAGTGTGAATGGTGCTGTTCGTCACAAGTGTCTTTCAGTTATAGGAAAACTCATGCACTTCAGCTCTGCAGAAAGAATCCAATCTTTAATAAATGGCACAAACATCTCAAGGTATACGGAATTACTCCACTTTGTTTTGCTGGTTAAGTTTTTTTGACTCGCCAGCAGTCAACCAGTACATATATGCTTACTCTCTTTTGTTGTTTAGTTTCTTAGCTGGGGTTTTAGCTTGGAAAGATCCTCAAGTTCTGTTGCCAGCCCTTCAAATAGCAGAAATTTTGATGGAAAAGCTTCCTGGTACTTTCTCGAAGATGTTTGTAAGGGAGGGTGTTGTTCACGCCGTGGAAACTTTGATACTAACTGGATCTACTAGTAGCAATGAGAAGGATAATGATTCTATTACTGGATCGTCATCACGGTCGAGACGTAATCGCCGGCGAGGCGGTAATTCTAGTTCTGATGCGAATCCTGCTGAGGACTCTAGAAACCCAATTCCAAGTATTGAAACCCCGGCAGTCAATTCTAGTCTACGGGTGGCCGTTGGTGCATGTGCAAAAACGTTTAAAGAGAAGTATTTCCCCTCAGATCCTGAGGCCACTGGAACTAGCGCTACAGATGATCTAGTCCGGTTAAAGAACCTATGCATGAAGTTGAACGCGGGGATTGATGATCACAAAACCAAGTCAAAGGGAAAATCAAAAGCTTCTGGCCCTCGGTTTACTGATTTTTCATCGAGTAAAGAAGAACACTTAGTGGAGGTGATAACAGAGATGCTCCAGGAGCTTAGCAGAGGGGATGGGGTGTCAACTTTTGAGTTTATCGGTAGTGGAGTTGTTTCTTCTTTGCTTAACTATTTCACTTGTGGTTATTTTTCAAAGGAGAAAATGTCTGAAGCTAATCTCCCTAAGCTTCGACAGCAAGCCAGCAGAAGATACAGATCTTTTGTGTCTGTTGCCCTTCCTTCAAGTGTTGATGAAGGGAGTCTAGTACCCATGAGCATTTTGGTTGAAAAACTTCAAAATGCTCTATCCTCGTTGGAGCGGTTTCCTGTTATGCTAAGCCACGGTTCAAGAACTTCTGGTAGTAATTCCCGTCTTTCCTCTGGTCTAAGTGCCCTTTCTAATCCATTCAAGCTCCGCCTTTGCCGAGCGCAGGGAGAAAAATCTCTTCGCGATTACTCTTCAAATGTTGTATTGATTGATCCGTTGGCTAGTTTGGCCGCGGTTGAGGATTTCCTTTGGCCAAGGGTTCAACGAAGTGAGTCGGGTCAAATGCCTTCAGTATCTGCTGGGAACTCTGAGTCTGGTGCCACTCCTGTAGGAACAGGTGTTTCGTCACCCTCTGCTTCTACCCCTGCTACTAGACGTCATTCAACACGTTCCAGATCTTCTTTAAATATAGGTGATTCAGGTAAAAAAGATTCTCCGGTGGAGAAAAACTCAAGCTCAGGAAAGGCCAAGGGAAAAGCAGTATTGAAGCCTAGCCAGGAAGAGGCAAGGGGACCCCAGACTAGAAATGCATCCCGCAGAAGAGCAGCTCTCGACGAGGACAACGAAATGAAGCCAGTGGAAGAGGACACCAGCTCTGAGGTATGGTTTTGATATATCTAGAGCTTTCTTGATGAAAACCGAGTTGGTTTAAATTTTCTGGTTTACCCTTTTTTCTTCTGGTTAGCAAATTGCTAGTGTTTGGTGGGGGTAAGTAAGAGAATAGACCTAGACATAGGCCATTGAAAATTACTTTGATGAGGTAGACATAGATCCACCATTGCCCAGGTAGACTAGGTAACGATCTTGTTCGCAGATTCTTGATTAATATTGAACGAACTTGCTGGAACTTACTTCTCATTTCGAGATATTCTGCTTCGCCCCCTCGCCACCCTCTTTTGTGTTTCTTGCATGTGTCAACATGCACGATCTTGATTCAGTTATATTGTTTATTCGGATGACTTCCTAAGATGATACCTCTTATGTGATTTAGATGTCACTCGTTTTGTGTTGTTCTGTGTTTTCTGTCAGAATTGACACATGCACGATCTTGATTCAGTTATATTGTTTATTAGGATGACTTCCTAAGGAGATGCCTCTTATGTGATTAGATGTCACTCCTTTTGTGTTGTTCTGTGTTTTCTGTCAGAAAAAGATTCTGAAAGGATTATATTTTGTATAATGCTTTTGGGCACAGGGCAGTGTTTACTTTTGGGGGTTTCCTTTCCCTCATCTCTTTTATTTTCTTGTGCCTCATTAGACAGAATCTGAAAAAAGGCAAATTCTCATTTTGTATGTCAGATATGATATGACATGGAACTCTCTCTCTCTCTCTCTCCATAAGAGAACACGTGATAAGGTATTGTATCGTATCATGCGTATTGCGATACATAAGTGGAACACATGATAGAAATCTTTCCGAGTCACACCTGAAAATCAAGTTGAATTGACTGACCCAACCTGATTTGTTCTCAAGAACAATTCTAAAGTACTGTTCTCTATTTTTCCCTAATTCTTCAAACCATAAAGTAATTCCTGACTTTCCATGCTTCAATTTCTTCCAAAGAGTAACCCCGAAATACTAATCCCTGCTTATTAAATCACAATTTTCTTAAGATATATCCTGATTATCACAATGTTGGGGCGATCAGGCCAGATTTGACGTGATTTGCGTGCGATTTGGGGCTGTATCGCTGCTCTGCACGATTCAATTTTGGTGTGTTTAGACTTGATTTATGTGCAGTTTAGGGTGGAGTTTATGTGATTTGATAACATTGCTCTCATTATGTTGACCACTTACTTTACAGTGACAATTTTGTCATTGTTATGATCATCTTGCAAATGCGTTTGTTTGTACACAACCGATTTCAGTATTGTTTTTTTTCACATTGCAGGATGAAGAGTTGGATATGTCACATGTAGAAATTGATGATGCTTTAGTGATTGAAGATGATGATATATCAGATGATGATGATGATGAAGATGACGAGGACGAGGACGACGACGAGGACGACGATGACAATGATGATGTATGTTGCCTTACATCCATTGATTAACTATATAGATTCTTTTTAAAATTTCTTTATGGGAAATCCTTTGCTTGAGATCTGGCTTAATACTCTGTGTTGGACGAACTTCTATTTTTAGAGAAGACACTGCATGAATAAATCTGGTAAATAACTTTGATTTGTGAATGTTAGATGTGTCAGAGGAATGTCTGTATGTAAATAGAACCTGAAATTCAGGATTTTTGTAGTTCATTAAAAGAACTATGTTGGAACTGTAGAGCAGCTGTTCTATGGGGTTTGTCTCCCAGTGTTTCGTCAATGTAACACATAAACTTGATGTAGGAAAGGATGTACTCAACCAGTATTTTGGATATGCATGTTTCCCTGTTGTAAGTATAAGATGGAGTCAGTATGAGGAATTTATGCTTGATATACATAACTTGTTTTTGAGAGACTAATGGTAATCGAATTGGGGGTTAGGCTCTTCTTGACTGAGGGTGATGTTTTTCTGACTGGAGACAGGAAATAACAGTTTGCATTTCTCCATTTATTGATCTTTGTTTGTCATGGAACATTTGCCAACTCATATCCATTGTCTTGATTTCTGACAGGTTCTTGAAGATGATAGTCTTCCCGTTTGCATGTCAAGCATGGTGCACGATGTTAAGTTAGGCGATTCTGTAGAAGAACCTCCTATCCCTGCCCCCAGTGACACGAATAACAATCCAGTATGTAGTTCTAGCAGCAAAGGTTCTGCTGAGTTTCGTAGTGGCAGTTCCTTTGGTTCGAAGGGTGCAATGTCCTTTGCAGCTGCTGCGATGGCTGGGCTTGCATCTGGAAATAATAGAGGTGTAAGGGAAGACAGAGATCGGAGGGGGCGTCCCTTATCAGTCTATAAGGATTCACCAAGACTAATTTTTACCTCAGCAGGAAGGCAGCTTAATAGACACTTGACTATTTATCAGGCAATCCAAAGGCAGCTTGTTGTGGATGAGGATGAAGATGATCAGTTCGCTGGCAGCGATCTTGTAGCTAGTGATGGAAGCAGGCTTTGGTCTGATATCTACACTATGACATATCAGAGAGCAGATGGTCAAGGTGAGAGGTCTCCACTTGGGACTGTAAGCTCAACAACTCCATCCAAGTCTGCAAAATCTGGTTCTCCGAGTAATTCTGCCTCTGATACATCGGCTCATTATGTATCACTGCTAGATAGCATATTGCAAGGGGAACTCCCATGTGATATGGAAAGGAGTAACCCCACATATAATATATTAGCACTATTACGTGTATTGGAGGGGCTGAATCAGCTTGCACCACGTTTGCGAGTCGAGCAAGTGACCGACAAGTTTTCCGAGGGAAAAGTTTCGAGTTTGGATGAACTCACTATCACTGGAGTCAAAGTTCCTTCAGAGGATTTTATTAATGGAAAGCTTACACCAAAACTGGCTCGACAGATTCAGGATGCTCTTGCACTTTGCAGTGGAGCTCTTCCTTCATGGTGCTACCAGCTTACTAAAGCTTGCCCATTTCTGTTTCCTTTTGAAACCAGGCGCCAGTACTTCTATTCAACTGCTTTTGGATTGTCGCGTGCATTAAATCGGCTCCAGCAGCAGCAAGGTGCCGATGGTCATGGATCGTTAGGTGAAAGAGAGGTGAGGGTTGGCAGATTACAACGCCAGAAAGTTCGTGTTTCGAGGAACCGGATATTAGACTCAGCTGCAAAAGTTATGGAGATGTACTCTAGCCAGAAAGCTGTTCTTGAAGTTGAATATTTTGGTGAGGTTGGGTCTGGTTTGGGGCCCACTCTGGAGTTCTACACTCTTTTAAGTCACGAGCTTCAGAAAGTTGGATTGGGAACATGGAGGTCAAGTTCGTCATTTGGTAGACCCTCCATGGAAATTGAGGTCGATAACTCTGCATCTGCTGGTGGTAAAGATATTATTCATGCGCCTCTTGGGTTGTTTCCTTGTCCATGGCCCCCCAATGCTGATACTAGTGCTGCAAGTCAATTCTCCAAGGCTATTGAGTATTACCGCTTACTTGGACGAGTTATGGCTAAAGCTCTGCAAGACGGGAGGCTTCTTGATTTGCCGCTGTCATCTGCCTTTTATAAGCTTGTCCTTGGTCATGTAAGCATATCTCACTGTTTGTTTGGATAATCAGATAATTGAATTTAGAAACTTTTGGTATAGCTTCTTTTGTATAAGTTTATTGAACGAGACTTCATGATTTTACTTGTGCAGGAGCTGGATTTGCATGATATAATTTCTTTTGATGCGGAACTTGGGACTACTTTGCAAGAACTGCAAGCGCTTGTGTTTCGAAAACAATATTTGGAATCTGTAGGAAGCTACAATCCGGAAGAGCTACGGTTTCGCGGAGCTTCCATTGAAGATCTTTGTTTAGATTTCTCTCTTCCTGGGTACCCCGATTATATATTAAAACCAGGCGATGAAAATGTATGCGCACCTCTCTGTTCCTGTTGTTTTATCGTTTTCTCCCCACACATACATCCCCACTCAAACCCAGACTTGTAGATTTACAGTATTGACAGTTTTAATCTATTTAAATTTGCAGGTGGATATGAGTAGTTTGGGAGATTATGTTTCGCTTGTGGTTGATGCCACTGTAGGGACTGGGATCATGCGACAAATGGAAGCATTTAGATCTGGGTTTAATCAGGTTTGCTTCTTTGTTTGATTTTGATAAACTTCTGATGTCAAATAATATGTCTGTTTATGTTTGTGGGATGTTTGAATAGTACCACATATTCGCCAGCTTTTTTTTTTTGGCGAAAATCAGTTTTCAAAAAGCTGTCTCTCAATGAAATAGGCCCTTGATGGAAATATCTCAACAAGCTACATGTATATTACCTCAATGCTAACTTCATTTCTTCACATATACTAGATATGTACTGATATTTAATCTGATTATTGCTGTTCTGCTGCTAAAAACTGAGATCATTTTTTGAATACAAGTTATATGAGGGTGAAAAATTCTAAATGGCTTACGTTTTTTAGGTGTTTGACATCTCAACTCTACAAATATTTTCTCCAAATGAGTTGGATTATCTGCTATGTGGTCGCAGAGAACTGTGGAAGGTAATGTTTCTTTTTTTATGAAGATCAACATGTTTGATTATTGCATTTGCCTGGTTTAACATCTTTTTGTTTTCTGGTGCAGGCTGAGTCGCTTGCTGACCACATTAAATTCGATCATGGATATACATCCAAAAGTCCTGCTATTGTCTATGTACGCGATCTTTACATACCTCCAAAAATCATAGGAGGCATAAAAAATAAATAAAAATGATAATAATTTAAAATGCCCACCTGCTTTTTTTCATTTATTTTCCTCATGTATTTACTTTTGCCCTGTTAATTTTCATGCGAGCAGCTTCTTGAGATTATGGGTGAATTTACCCCTGACCAGCAGCGGTCGTTCTGTCAGTTTGTTACTGGTGCTCCTCGTCTTCCTTCAGGTGGTCTAGCCGCACTGAATCCCAAGTTGACTATTGTTAGAAAGGTATAATAATTGAACTCGATCTATATATCAACATTCACCTCGTTCGATATATATGTGTGTATTATGCACGTGCCTAATAAATACTCTATTCATTATCGAACAGCATTCGTCAAACACGAGCAACCATGCAAATAATGGCACTGGTGCATCAGAATCTGCCGATGAGGACTTGCCTAGTGTGATGACATGTGCTAATTACTTGAAGCTTCCACCTTATTCCTCCAAGGTTAGTTGAGATTATTAAAAATAAATAGTGAAGTGTGCCAACAGAAACGATTGTGGATTTTCAATGTAAATGCTATTTGGCGCTCTAATATATATATGTTTCTCGTTTTTTAGGAAGTCATGTACAAGAAACTACTCTATGCCATTAGCGAAGGACAAGGATCGTTTGATTTGTCATGAATTGTTCCTGCCTATCCAGCTGGACTTTCAAAGAACATTGTTATTACTAAAAAGTTGATGGTATGATGGTTGAAGGTGGCAAATTTTAGATGATTAATAAGGGTGCAAAGCCCATTAGTGCGCTTTTTAACTGCTGATATAGTTAAGGTCAGTTATTTATGTAAAAATATTCGAGTTAGCATCGTACGGGGATAACTATGTTTCACTTTTTATCCATACTCCATCCGAACAAGTTTTTCCGCCCTGTATATGAATCTTAAATTTGAGTCTGTTTATTTATTTCCATCAATCTCCGTATTCTTCTATGTGCATTTATTTATCTTTCCAATTGTTTCTATGGGCTCTAAATACTACTTTACTTCTATAACTGGTTCAGGTCGATGAAACATTGGATTTAGAGCACCGACGGGGAAGGGGAAATATGAACTACTGCCTTGAGGGACTTGGCTTGTAAATAAAAAAAATATAATCGTTTTTATTTTATTTTTACAAATAGTTCCCTCTTTCTCAATTTATTCATCTGTAGGGTTCTGTTCTGTGTAGACAAGTCACCTGTATGTTGCTTGTTCTATATTTGTTTTTTTGCTGGTGACTTTTTTCCGTTATACTTATACATTTTAATAATGATAATGAAACATTGATTCATGCTGTTTTGTTTTTTGATAGTCATCGGAGAAACTTCTTGTACTTTTGCTTATATGCGGGAATTCATAGTTACATACTTGTCCTCGCTAGTTTGGAAGGTCGAGTTATTTTCTTAGAAATATTGGAAACGTAGTTCTTTTAGTGCAATCCATATCTACTGTTATACAATTGTGTTAATAGATACATTATTTTTTTATGAGAAACAAATTTGATGACAAGTTGTAAATTTAAGCCACAAAACAATCGAAACCAATCAAACGATACGAACTATTACAACAATTGAACCAACAATTACAGAATTCACAGACACATGAGTGTTAGCACATACAAGAACAACTCACTAGAATCAGAAGGTTTACATATTACGAAAATGATGATCTAACACTCAACACTCGCAAATAATCACCTAATTGCAGGTTGCATTTCTCGTTATCCACCCAAATCTCTTAACTCCCTTGTGAAGACCCCTTCTGATTTCTTAGCCTCCAAGACACGAGATCTTCTTACTTTTTAGCTCACTTTTCCGGCTCCTTCTCCAGCTTGATGATGTGGATAAAATATCCACATCGCTTGTACATATGGATTTGAGTCATAAGGTAACATCTGAACTTAGAGCTGGAAACCAAACAAAACTATTCGACACTCGATTCGAGATCGTTGATTAAAAGCTCGCTTGAGCACGTTTTGTTACATAACTAACCACGACTCAAAACATGTTTTTTCATATTTTCATTCGATAAGTTAAGAAGCTTGGCTTGAACTCGATTCGTGTTCTGACCATGGTCAAACACAACTTTAAAGACTCAGATAAAAGTTCAAACAAGTTTCAACAACCATGCGTCCGACTCGACTCAACTCATTTGCAAACCTAATCGGTCTATTTGCCTATATACTCAATTGTCAATTGACTGTTGAATACTCATTTGACATTACAAATTTTCCTTTGGTTTCTTTTGCTACATAACATTTGCAATCAAAAGGAAAGAAATAAGACTTCCTTAAATTTTTATCTTTATGAAGAAAAGGAACTTGCACAGATTACTACTGGAGAGGCTATTTTTTGCTCTAATTTTATTTTTTATTCAATAGAACTTGCAAGAAATTCTAAAGTGCGTACAGTCGAACAAAATTAAACCGATCAGATGCAAAACGCCGCTCAATTGTATGAATATGAAATAAAAAGAAAAATAAAAAATGAAAAAAGAAACAACATTATAATGAAGTGAAACTTGAATCATCTTCACTTTGGATGGGCACATGCAACTTGAATAGCGAGTGTCTTCGCCACGTCAGGGCAAGAATCATTGCCCGCGTCGACTAGAACTTCTCTCTCAAATGGCACCGTGCACGTGTTCTTACCCATGCACATCTGTCCATGACCAAAAAAAAAAATCGGAATTTTGGAAATTGGAATGGAAAAATTGTTCCAAAATCGGGAATTTTCATATTGAAAACGGCGGAATTCGTTTTTTTTTTCAAAATTTTAGTGACATGTAATATCAAATATAAAATACATAATAATATTGATACTATTAGGGTGATATCTTGGAAATCAAAATCGAAATTTTCGAAAGTATTTAAAAAAATTAAAAAAACGGTTAAAAAATCAGAATCTAATACGTATTTCAGTTCCGTTCCACTACTTCTATCCCCCGTTTACTTCTGACTGATCGAGTTTTAAATAATGTAGAACAAACCGTGAAAAATAATATATATGTTACCTTTTCGACAAGTTTACGGGCTTTAGGGGAGTCGCATTTGCCAGGCGAGAAGGCGCCGCAGGCACCCTCGACATCTCCGAAACTGACAAAGTCAACGTTGGCGATGACTTTGTTGTCGGAGCACGAGAGTTGCGCTGACTTGACCGGGTCAACGATGGCGCGAAACACGTTGTCTTTTCTCTCCCACGTCTTAATGTGAGGCGGGTGAAACTCGCTAATCACGCTGCAAATCGTGTCTCGGTTCACAATCACGACTTCGATCTTCTCAGGTACGCCACCTGTCTCCTCGAACACCACCACCAGGTTGCGTTTCGCCTTCAAGAATGATCTTGGGATATGGTACCTAATCCAAACAATTACATGCAACTTCAATACATAGAATTTAAATGAAAACTTCAATACATATATATAAATATTTTGATTAAATTCAAAATTAGTGTAAAGTTTTCATTTTGAGAACTGATGACAATTTTTAAGGCTCATTGGATCCAATAAAACTAGAATGGAGATCGAAAAATTTCAATTTTCTTTGAAGTGAAAAATTAATTCTAAATTTCTAATACAGTTCATAATGTTTTTTTGGTAAAATCGGAAACTTGAAATGAAAAAACATATATGTTGCAAAAATCGGAATTTTTCGGATTGAGATTGGCGAAAATCGGAAAATAATTTTTATTCTACAATTTAAAATACATAATAATATTCATATTATCAATGTAATTTTCGGAAAACAAATTGCAATAGAAAGAATTGTTTTTGGACAACCCGAAAATCAGAATCTCGTATATTTTCCAATTCCCGCCTAGAAAATTTCGAAAAAAAAAAGAAATCGCAAATCAAAATTTTCAAAATTAGGAATGAAAATCATTGTTCCAAAATCGGAAACTTTTCGATCGAAATTGACATAATCTCGTATATTGAATAATTAAAAAAATAGGAATTCTTACTCTTCTTGAGTAGGCTTTCCAAGGGGTGAAAGATAAGAAACCCAATATCTACCAATATTATTGCCATTTATCCATATCATCCCTTTAGCCATGCTCGTCATTCTTATCGCAACGGGATCGTTTCCTTCCGGTGCATTAAAATACGCCTGTCGAATTAATTAAATTAAACAAAAATCATCAATTTTATTATTATTAGACTACATATATTTTTCATCAATTATTATTAACTATTTAACAAAATTATATTCATTACCTTATACCAAGTAACAGCGCTTGGTTTCCCATTTGATGGCACCCATTTCACTTTCTTCGACCCTTCTTCCGTGTACAATTCCGTCTTTTCGCCGTTTACGCCAACCTAGTTCACATTTTTATACATGCACAATTGCTTAAAAAAATAAATAACATTATATTAATTATGACATCATTAATGTAAATAAATAATAATTATTAATTAATTAATTACCTCTTGGCTCCAATGGTTTTTGGTAATGTCAAGATTTCCAGACATTAAACCTTCAAGTGAGATTGCTCTTGGACCGGCAAATCTTCTCTCCATGTAAGCTCCACTATTCTACAATTTTTTTATTTTTTTATTTTGGAGATTATTAATTTATTATTGAAAAAAAAATATTTACTTAGGAAAATAAAATATGTAAAAGTTGAAAAATTACCGGAAAACCGACTGTCATTGCCAACAATGAGATGTCGTTAACTCCGGGCTTCAAATTGACTGGCTTTTTGAACACAAGGCTCTTTTCGATGTTACTACCGTGCTCGAAACCTAAATATTTATTTCAACCTAATCAAATACTTCGATTTTTTTTTGTAGTAATTTCCATTACTATTAAAATGTAATTTAGGGGCCATTGTACTATATTTCTTGAAAGATAAAAAAATCGCTATATAGTAGGGGGGCCATTGCCCCCATGACACTATGCTGGCTCGCTCTGCTGCAACCAGTAAACTAACCCTACTTGAACGAACCACGAAAAAAATATTATTTTTTTAATATTTTTAATTCGTGCTAGTTAATTATAATTTATAACATTACCTATATATTCGCCGTTGACAAATGCCATCAAACCATGGCCAAGACTTGCAATCTGAAGAACCGGAAGAATATCGGCGCGCATCGGCAAGTCTTGCTTTTCCATATTGATTCTGACGAACAATTATCAACATTAAAAAAATAATATTAATTTCATTTTCTTGCAAATTTGAGGAAAAATAAAAAAATTAAATGTGTGTGTATATATATATACCTGGTGCTGTACCAAGCATAATCTGAGGTATCTCTTGTTAACCTATACAATTCCTTAGGAGATTTGCTCTTAACACCCAAATCATTAAATGTAGGAATATTTTCTTTGTACATCTCCCATTTGTGGATCTTCGCTTTCTTCGAGGCGACGAAGTTTCTAGAACTATGTTGCGCGACGACCTGCGACGCGACATCGAATATAATTATTAATTATAAAAAATAAATAATTAGGGGGGACACTAGTTATTTATTAATTTTTGTTACACTTACTCTTTGAGTGTTGTAAACTACTGTCTTGCAATCGGGTAAAATGCTGATCGATTTCGGTGGCATGTAGTAATCGACCCCTCGGAATTGGATGGTTCCAGGTTCCTTCGTGTTGTTGTTTGTTAGAAACGCTACGCATATTTTCGTTCCGGGCTTCTCGTATGTTGTGATCTATATATATCAAAATAAAATAAATAGTAAAATTACTTTTGATGTATGTAATTATTTTAAATAAAATTGAATTTTTTTAATAGAATTTAATTAATTAATTAATTACCTCTAAATCCTTGCTTATTTTCTGCACGTTTTGGGTGCCCCAAAGTAAAGGCTTTTTGCTCAATCTTAAAGCCCTGTGTAGGTCTCTCAAATGTCCGAATTTAGGTTCCCTCTTCAAACCTAATTTAATTTAATTTAATTTAATTTAATTTAATTTAATTGCATTAATTTGTATATATAATTAGGGGAATTTAGTTTAATGAAAATTTAATTTATTGTACCAAATTCATCAAGGGGTGCTTCATCATAGTAACGAGTTGTGACAAAGGATGAACTTGTTCTACCAAAATTTGTTCCACCATGGTACTGAAACAAAATCATTATTAATATACATTAATTATTTTTTTGTTTAATAATATTTGGAAAATTATATTAATGTTATATACATATATATTTATATATTAATTTCAAACAGTACCATGTAATAGTTGTTGAGGGTTCCATTTCTTGTAAAGAATCTAGCAACAGAAAATGCTAAATCTTCAGCTGGACGCTGCGACGGCGAATCACCGAATACTCTATACCTGCAATTCGCAATCGATTTTTCATTAATTTTCATCCAATTACAATTACTTTCTTTTATATATAATAAAAAGAAATGCAATATTATTAATAGGAATAATTAATAACTTACTGAGCAGTCCAATTCTCAGTCCATAGAGAAGGTTTATTAGGGCCATTTGGACCAGGAAAAGTGTCACCACATTGTCTTCCATTGCATGTACTAATCTAAATAATTAAAATTACAAAAAATAAAATTATAAATTATATTTACTAAATTATAATATTAGTATTGAAAAAAATAATTTAAACAAAAATACTTACTACTGTCTGAGGAGCATCTTTCTGCTTGCACATGACCCACGGGATGCCGCTGTATAGACCGACGGCCATATCCGCCGCCCACTTCACGTAATGTTTTCCGGCTTCTCTATACGCTGCTTGTACGTTGTTATACTCGTTTTCGATCTTGGAATTTAATTTAACAAAAATATAAATTTAGGATTTAAATTAATTTAATTAGTAATTTCGATTCGAAAATGATGTATATACCTGTGCCATGATAATGGGGCCTCCTTGATCTGCAAAGAGTTTCTCCTTTTTCATCAAATTAATGACCATTTCTGTGTACTTTTTCATGTGGAACTGCATTAATTTATTTTTATAAATAGAATTAGTTATATATAAATAAAAAAAAATATTTTATTTATTTATTTATTTATTAATATTTTGTGGTATTAGATTTATAATTAATTAATTAATTAATTACCATGAAAGGTTCATTGTGAGAACGGAATGTGATGTTATGGACCTCTCTTAGCCAGTATGGGAAACCTCTGCATAAATTGATCATTTAAAAAAAAATAAAAATTATTATCTGAAATTAATGAAAAAAAAAATTAAAAAAAAATTGACATAAATTAATTTGGTATATATAATTGAAGTATATACCCCATATTCCATTCAGCCTCAATATAGGGTCCAACCCTTAGGGTTACCCACAGACCTTGCTCCCATATCATTTTTATGAATTTCACCAAATCATTGTTTCCTTCAAAATTGTACTGTAACAACCAACAATTTTTGTGTCACAATTTTATTATTTTATAAAATATATATATATATTTACATATAAATTATGCAATATATTTAATTTACTTGTCCTTGAACAGGCTCATGAATATTCCAAAAAACATATGTTTGGATTAGGTTAAGGCCACCTTCTTTCGCCTTTCGAATTAGTTCAGGCCACATCTATTCACCGGAAAAAAAATATAAATATATAAAAAAAATCACAATTTACGATAAAAAAAAATCTTAATAATAAAAGGATCGATTTTTTTTTTTTTAAGTACCTCGGGGGTGCTACGAGGGTAATGAATGGAACCGGAGAAAAGTAATTGTCTGGTTCCGTTAATTATAATAGAGCGATTATCGTAAGCCACGACCGGCTGTTTCTTCTTTCCTTTCCCATATGCATTAGCCACAAGTAAAGCGAGCACGGCAAATAACAAGATATTTCTTTTGCTCGCCATCTTTTTTTTTTTTTGGAAAAAAAAAAAAAAAAACACTTGTATTTTTGGCTTATATGATTATGGGTTTATTGTTTTTCTTTTTCTTTTTTCTTCTTGCATGCAATTGTATATTGTACGGAACCTCACTCCTCTCGAAAT